TTAGGAGAAACCGATTAGCAATTGCAACAGTTTGCGAGTCTGGGATGTTTTTAGGTGCCTTGTGGCTCCTGCTGAGTTCAAGTACTGATGTTACCTGTGCTGACACACCACGAGGACAATGCACGGCACACACACACTGATTAACTACAGTTAACGTCAGCTGACACTGAAATATGTTCCCACATAGAGAAAGTCTCTCACATTAGGTGTGTAGTACCACTGAGATGCCTTTTGAGCAAGGCACTGAGCTCCCAGCTGTCTATCCTGGTAAACAATCTTCAAACACGCAGCAATTTCCACCTTCCACCAAGATCACAGAAAGATGATAACATGAGTATTACCGTGGAAACCAACCACAAAACCCACTCACAGACCCACCAGACCGGTTCTGACACACACACACACACACACACACACACACACACACACACACTACCCTGCGGGTGTTATGAGGGGCTGAGAGGAGAAAACCATTAAAGTGTTTTTACATGCTGACAAGACTTGTCAACGCAAAGAATGTGTATGGGCATGTGTGTGTGTATGGGTGTGTGTGTAGTTATAGACTAGAAGTAACTAGTGGTCTTCAGTCAGCTGTTGCATTTAACGCTGGTCTAGAATAAAAGTATATTGACAATAAAAGATTTCAGAGAGCACCAAACGTATTTGAAAAGCGTGTTACTCAGCTGACAAGTCAACCTTACAGAGCACAATTTGACTTGGAAGTGAAAGGTGATGTTGTGTTTCTTCTTTTTAACCACCAAATGTAGATGAAGAGCAGTGGTTAGTGTCTGTATTATCTTAAAAATCAAAGTGCGTCGACAAAGTGACAAAATTACATTAAATTTGTTGGAAAATGATTTAGTCTTACTAAATACTTTGGAGAGTCAAATTAATTCAAAAGTAGTTACTAACTAAATATGATAGTGGCAGTGTTAGCTTTGCTTTAAATCAGGATGGCTCAAACTTAATGCAATTACCAAAATTAAAAACGATAAGTCACATAGGTATAATGTGTGTAATGTTTCTTGTGTGGATTTTAACTTTAAAGTCAAGACCCTGACGTCCGGATGTGGGCGTGTTCCATCGCAGATTGCTATTTAAAAATGGTTGACAAGCGACCTTTTGCTCAGACGTTTCCAAGACAGCTGGAGAAATATTATAGATCAAGACTCAGAAACATACATACACAGGATCGGAACTGCACACTAAAATGCAATGCGTGAATTTGTGCCCGAGCGCTCTCAAGTGTTGACTTGCAGACTGAGAAGCACTCAGAATTAGTTTTGTGCTCTCTCAAATCTTTTGTCATCAATATA